TCTTGCCCGCAAAAAGGAAGCCGATACTGAGCTGAAGAACAGCAGGCTGTATCGAGAGTTATTATGCTCGACTCATTGTATATGTTCAGACGTCGCTGTAATTGTATGCTCGATGCTTGTTTGCAGGCTGTCATCTGCTAGGTGCATGCATGTTCCCGTCACCACAGAGCCGCCGCCAGGCCAGTGACTCTTCAACCTTCCGCATCTGTGCAAGAGATCCCCTTAGGCCCGAAAGAGAAGGTGGGAGCGAGTCAAAGCAAAAAGTGACAGCTGGTAGCTCCCGCGAGCGGCGCGCTTTGTGCAAGGCGAAGGAACACGGGGAGTGCGCACTACCTTCTGCAATTGCAGGTCCCCGGCAGAACAATGTTTGAGTGCATACAACGGGCGCTGGTGGACATGGATTCTTGGACACCCTCCCAGCAGGTCGCTCATGCACCCCACAGCTTGTTCAGGCAAGACGCGTGCTAAGCCCTGCAAGACAGACTTGCGTGCATGGAGCCACTCGCGGACGAGATAACGATAAGCACGCTTACAGGCTGGTCGGGTCGGGGTGTCGTCCGGTCAAGGGCGCCGGACGCGCTGCAGTACGATGTGGTCATCTAGATATCACTGTGAACGCGCGACTCATCGCTGTAATCATGACTGTGAGATGGGGATGGGGGTCCAAGCTGAAGCAGCCTCAATCGTGTCGCAGTCATGTTTTTGATTGTCTTGTTCAAGCAGTGTTCCAGAAGACAGGGGCCGTGGGGCAGGGCCGAGAGGTGCGGTGGGTAGATCGTGGAGGTGGCGGCACGACTCCGGGATTCGGGAGGCGCCTATGCACATCAACGAACATCATACTTGCAGTGCTAAATGCGTAGGTCTGGTAGGAATAGACAGCACATGCGTTTGTGTGCACGGGACATCTTTTTGCTCATATCATGCTCCCCACAAGCTTACGTGGAAGTATTGGAGCATTTGCGACACAAACACGCGCGGTAGGCGGATGCCCTCGAATAAGCCCGGCTGCGCGCCGAAGAGTCCATGTCGCGCATGCGGAACTGGCCGGGCTGCCGCAGCCTTCACATGGGATCAGCGACGTGGAGTGCTGAGAAGGACAGCGTGGGCAGTCCGCGAAGGCAATCGACAGCGTGGCCCTTCAGCCGCGCCGTGTCTCAGCGGTGCCTGGACTGCAACGAGGCCCAGCGGCGCTCCGTGACACTGCAGCCCGGTCGTGTGCTCCTGTTGTTGCCCACGCGAGTGCTCTTTATTACATATCCGCACCCCGATAGCCCGCTGCCCTTGCTGTCATTCCACCAGACGTATCTTATCGCCGCCTCCTCCACCTGCCTATCCTCTGCTACCTCACTCGAGCTCCCCGCCTCTCTCATGCTTCATTCTTAATAACCTCACTGTCCACATATCTGCACAGCACCCAGCCATCTGCCACGGCCACGTTCGGCCAAATCGGTCCCTGCAGGTGTGATGTTCCTTACGAGCTCCCCTTGGTGCCGCCATCCAATCCCAATCCAGCAATAACGTAACAACAATCCATATCCTCTTCCCGAGAAACGTCACAGACGCCTAGCCGTACCTGGCAGCGACCCATCCCTAGTCACGGGGTGCTCGCCGTGAAGGCCTCCGCGCAATATGATGTACTCGCCAAGGTCGTTTCCGTACCTCCAACAGTCTCCGCCCTCGTCGCGCTCCAAATCAGACAAGATGGGCACGCGTGTAGCGAGGAATTCCTCTTCGCCGCGTACCGTCCGGCCTGCAGAGAAGCCCTTGCCGAACACTTCAGAGTCCATCTTTCCCCCCGAACCAAGAGAAGTGCACACTGCCGCGGCCATGCACTCGCACTCGAAGCCCGTTGTCATCCCGCCCCGCATGCCTTCGCGAACAGCCGCCACTACCACCCAGACCGTAAGAGCGCGAGGACCGAACGGTGCCAGATCAACTCGCACACACAGCTCTCACAACCCAGGCGCAATCCCACCTGCCGTCGCGGCGCTGCTGGCCGTCACCTCGATTCCAAAGCTGCCACCCCGCCGCCGCAAGCCAGCCATGGCCGACCGAAGGATTTCCATGGACGAGCTGATCCAGGAATGGAAGCAGGATGATAGTGAGGTACCTCCTTCTCTTGTAGGTTCGCCGCTGGACCTGCTCTTAGGTCGCGTGGACGAGAGCGAAGACGAATACGGCAGCCTCCAGAGCATGGAGCAAGAGAAGGGGTTATTTTCAGCGTCCAGGTCAATATCCAGCGAGTCGCTGGCCACTCTGCCACCTTCACTCGACTACGACGATCCCTCGTTCTCGTCACATTGGGATAATCTCAGCACACCAGAATCCGTGAGCCGCAAGTCGCTTCCAGAACGCAAGGAGAGGGTTGTCAACTCCCCTCCCAAGGAGGACTGCGTTTTGGACCACCCGCTGCTACACTTTGGCCCCGAAGAGTGCGAAGACATTGTCACCCATGATATTACTGAAATCATCGAATCTATGCCCGCTTCGACCGAACGCTTCAAATCCTTCAAATCAAATCTCACCGCTTCGCTCCAGGCCCTGAAGTCTGCTGCGAAATCATTCTCAAACTTTACAGCGCCCAGCGTTCCTCCTGACGATTTCCTCACGCGGTCGTTACTGTCACCCAACTTTACAAGCGAAATGCGGCCAAAACACCTTGAAGGATTGCCTTCTCCCGCGCTGCGACGATACCTCAATCCCCAACCCGCGCCCATATCGCCCACGGAATTATCAATGCAGCTACACGATTCGTTCATGATCGACGCCGATGCCGACACCCATGCGCCGATGATACAAATGCAAACGTACGACCGCCGGGGCCGCTCAAAAAGCCGCCGACGCACCTCGGATCCTTTTTCCGAGGCTGGACGAGCATTGTCCTCACCCCCGACTGTCCGTCAACGCGAGCCTCGTGAGAACAGCGATTTTCTGCGCGTTATTGTTCTCGAGATGAACATGCGCCGAGTCGGCAAGCTCGACGCGAAGGCCGTCGGCAGAGCGCGCATTTGGCTCCCGCCAAGGAAAACCGGCTCTGGCAAGGCGCCAACGAATCCGGGCGCAAATGGTGTCCCTGATAGATGGATTGGAATTGCCGCAAAGTGATTGCACTAGCAGAGCAATTTTGTTAGGCCATCCTGGACTTTGGCAACCGTTGTGCGCGTCGGGCACGCATGCAGGAAGACCCTCGTTCCGTTCACACAACATCGTGACCGATGACACACCTAGCGCGGTGCCGCATCCTTGAAAACCTACCAATCCCAGTTGACGTCAGGCTACGCAGGCACCCTGGAGTCGATCGGACTTCCCACTTCTCCTCGGAGCAAAGTGCCCGCCGGCAAGTTTAGCGGCGTCGCAATTGTGGGCTTTGTCCACCATAGTGACCGTTGCCTCGGAAAACTCTACCTGGACTGCACACGAGTGCCTGTGCACATGGACGGCTCCGGCTAAACGCTCTACGACGAGTAGCGCAATGGCCAATTATTCCTGTCAGATCGGCCTTCGGCGACAATCCCGGCTGTGGGCCCGACCGAAGGAAGACACAGTTACACAAGATCCTACGTATGCAGCCTCATGTTCCTGCATCATGGCCACGAGACCGGGGAAAACGTCGTCGTCTCCATTCAAATCAGTGGGACGACACCGAAATGATTCCGCTGAGACACAATTCGCTCGGAGCGGCACGCCGGGACACGCCGACTCCAGAAGTGGGGGCACACGCGTTACACATTCGCATCGAGCAATCGTCGAGTAACAAGTGGAACATTAGATTTGCTTTGATCAGCGCCAGAAAGAGAAATGGGCGATCACTGTCTCGGCAAGCAATTTTGATTTTGTGTTTTTTTTCGCACTGTGCGCAAGTTTAGCGATATTTTTCATTTTTACGCATGAGGAGTTGGAGCGAAATTGGCAGGTGACGGTCAAGCGCTGACCGCATTTTGCGACTTGGGATATTATCACATTGCATTGCATGGCTCCTTTTATTTTCCCTGTACTGTGTATTGAATGTAAAGAAGAATCTGCTAGCGCGGCATCAGTGCAACAAGTAGATGGAATGACCAGGCTTCACAGTCATAAGTGCATATCAACACACCTTCCTCTATTGGACGCTCCGGATCTTCATGGTGGAATGTGCTCTCGAAATGAATGCCTTGAATGTCACTCGAATGGCGGTCTACGAAACGTTACAGCTCGCCTCATGTGCAAGCCGGCGGCCTAGCTAAGCTACTGAAGACGCCAGTCAAAGGGATGACAGCCTGTTGTTGGTAGGGTTGTTCGCCTCTGCCCGGGACCAAGGTTGTCTGAATCCAGCATTTCAATTGATGCGAACACTCGAAAATCTCCACAGCACGACGTGACCTTTGCATTTCTTGATTTTGCTCTCACTTACCAAAGGCTCACTGTACGCACATTGACAATATGTCATATTGCTCGGTAGGATACCGAACATGCTGTCAATCCAAAATAAAAGTATTGCATCAATCGTGGGGTTTCGGTGTTCTGCTTGCTCCTCTGTCAACTCAAGCTCAGCACGCTTGCAAACCAAACTAGCACGCTTGCAAACCAAACTTGCACAAAGCATTTTCTGTACGATAGTGACAGTGGCAAAACGCCACTTGAAGTATAGCCATAGATTCAGCGAATCTATTTCACGAGCACTAAGTGGTGTGAAGTTCGTGGTGCTCAATACAGACAATGAGACAGCTTTTGACAACCCTGTCGTCCCGACTACTAGAGCGCAGTGTATACCTTCAAGGCCTCAGCGCTCCAAGTTGTCACTACACGTGTCACAAACACCAGTGATCACAGTATTATATTGCAGTTTCTAAACAACCCCAAAGGTCGTGGTGTTGGCGGTAGGGGAAAGGGCGAGAGGGAGTCAGTCTGCATTTAGTTTAGCGCACGCTGGCGCAAAAAAAATCCTCTTCCACACACCAAGCTTCACAACGCAACTCGGGAGGAGGTGATATGAGATTAGCTGCAAAAGATGCGCAAAAAGATGACCTAACCAGGGGTCGAACCTGGAATCTCTTGATTTGTCGAACTGAATCGTAGTCAAGCGCCTTGCCATTGGGCCATTAGGCCGATGAATCGGATGATTTATGGATTGTGGAAAAACTATACACAATATATCTACAATATCGTGTCCTCACAGACAGCAGAGTCCCCATACTGATGGTGATCTTTGATTGAGAAGTTTTTGTGTGGTTCAAGTGGGGTAATCTTCGCTTGTGGAGTGGGGCAGCGCAGTATTTACATGTCGCTTTTCACGCGAGACTCCCATGAACACCATGCTGTAACCACTATCCTAGAGGCTGAGTTTTGACACACAACCGGTCACTAGGTAATTGATAAGAAACTTCGTACATGAAACGCTCCATCTATGCCCGCTTGTGCCTTAACGCCACGCTCAAATGCTATCAAACCGTAATGCCGTTGTAGTATACACCATTTAATATTATGCATAGCTTGCCCACCCCATGTACAGAACCGCCAAATTCCGCTCATCTGTCGCTTGCTGTATCAACTCGTTGACAGTCGCCTTTGTACTTAGAGTCTTGCTCAACTTCTTCTCCACCACGCTTAGTGCTCTTCCAGCCTCGCCAGCTTGTTCCTCCTTCTCTCTCTTCTTGTTACTCTCTTGCACCACTTCCTCCAAGGCTCCTTGTCCTGATGGCGCGGGCGTACCTCCTGGTGCGACAGTTGATGCTCTAGTGCCATTTTGAGCGTTGGTATCTTGATTACCTTCTTGCATCCGCTTTGCTTTGGTCGGTGTAACACTCCAGTTCACGAGCGGGTCGTAACGCAAGACATTGAGTAATGTCATGATGGACTCACGCTCTTCACGTAGTGTGTCCATCGTAAACTCGCAACACCGGCGAAAGACGCCCTCGGTCTTCGTATAGCCCATAGCATCTACCAAGTCGCGGGTCAAGCGGAACGGAACGACTTCTGGCACCGGCAGGACACGACCTGCTTCAAAACTCACTCCAAGATCAATGTGAATGACTTCGCCCGACTTCTCGTCCAACAATATGTTATGACAATGGCGATCACCAAGACCCAAGACATGGCCGAGAATAGAAATGGCAGCTGTAGACCGTGTGTAGGCTAGGCGACGCTCGAACCATTCATCTGGATCTTCGAAACGCTCCAGCAGAAAGTATCGTAAGACTGGATGGAAATTGGCGGCAATTTTCTGCCATACCTTGGTGCGCGTAGATAGCGAATCCTGTTGAGCTGCACCAATTTCTTTGCGGCACCTGTCAGGTCTGTAATCGTTGGGATAGTACTTTTCGTGCGCCGGCATAACCCAAAGATGCAACGGTATGGTATTCTGAACAAATTCCATCAGACCCGAGCGAGTGGAGAGTGGCAGCACTTTATATGTGCGAATCCCAATGTTCCGAATGCGTGTAGCAGTGTGATTCCGAAGAAGTCGCGAGACCTGGTCGAAGACCTGTTCCATAATCGCGTCTTGACGAAGATCGTCATTGCCAGATTTGAACTTGAATTGTCAGTCATAGTGCCAGGACCACACGAATGTTCAGCCACTCACTAGTTGCTTATACGGCTTTCCATCTGTTCCGATCGCAGTGATGATCTTGGGAGCGCTAAGACCGTTTGCAATGCTCATGGTCGACTTGAACTTTTGAATCCTCGGTAGGTCGGTGTAGTTTTTGTTTGCTCTGACTTCGACTTGCAGAGTCGCTGGCGGTACATTTAGTTTGGGCACTTTACTGACAAGATCTTTAGACTCCTTGTATCGATCTAGCGGCAGCTCTCGACCCTGCTGCGTACTTTCCTTCTCGCCTTTGAACATGGCGAGGTGATGATAGATCTCATTCGACTGGAAGATTGAACTCCAATAGGAGCGCGCCCTACTGTCATTGCCCAGAGCAGTTGCTAGCGCTGTTGCGGCTTTCTGGCGAGATCGCGCAGCTTCATCTTTTGCACGGACAACGTCCTCTCTAGTGATGGCACCAACCTTCATTTGAATTGCAAAAATCTGATGCATGCCATGGTATGGGTGGTCAACGCAAATGCGAAAGACGAGTGACATCAAGAGATTCTGAAACTCGCTATCCTCCGCTTGTAGTCTCGACGACAGCTGATTCATTAGCAAGGCGAACTTGCCACTGGGTACAATGTCGAGGTAAGTCTTGACTGCGCTGTTGGCCAAATCCGTGTCAGCATACTCTAGCCATAGAGAAAAAACGCGCAACGCATCATTGTTGTACTCGTCGCTGGCGGACAGCGACAGCAGGTAGTTCTCGAGGCATTGTCGCAAGAATTGCTCTCGGCCCTTTCGCATTCGTTCGTACTCCGCATGGTCAAGGTCGTACCACCCTTTTGCGCGGCGAGCGCTTCGGTGGTAGGTTTCGCGCATACTCTTGCTCTTGTCCGACTTGGAAAGCTTCAAGAACTCATTGTACTCTTGCAGCTTTCGGTCCATCACAGTCTTGATACGATCCATATCTTCAGCTGCTTCTGGGCTTTGAAGCTGCTTGTCGCAGAAGAGCGCAAATTCGTGGAAAACTTGCCCCGGCCCTGCACCCTGTTTTTGGTTCTTGAGCTCGCGGATGGCTGGCTCCAGATAGTCGCGCATGATAGCATCGGGCTTGGCAAGGCGGGCTTCGGCAAGGTGGTGACCCTGACGAGGTTAGCACAGTTCGGTGTCCAACATGGGAGTGTACGTACCAGACGTGCTAGAAGCACAGGTAAACTCAGATCAGTGTTTTGTGAATCGAAGTCTGCATGCTCGATGAGATGCTGGCGAATGCGTATCGAAGTCTCTGCCTCGCCCTGCTCCCACAGTACGTTTGCCACCTCGTGCTGGGCTGTTGCTTCAATGTCTAAACCAACAGACTTGCAGTCAGACACGATATCAGAGAGATAAGTCACGCTTGCGAGCGACTCTTGCAACGCGCCGTGTCTCCTACAGATCGTGGATGAGGACACAAGGGCCTCTACCTCGATACCCCGTATAGTTGCAGTCCTTGATCGTAAGGAATTGACGAGAGACCGGTTAGAGCTTAGGACGCCGAACAGCGTTTCGCGGCAGGATAGGCACTGCCGTACGTCATTGAATCTATGTGATAGTCAGTAAGATAAAGGCGAAGCCCAGAACAATCGAGCTTACTCTCCAGACAGCATCCATCTCTCGCGAGCCTTCATACGGTCCCATGTGTCGAGCAAGTGCTCCGGCCTTTCGGCTCGGATGACCTCGTCTGCTTCGACCAAAGCGCCTAGTGCTCGTAGGCGAGCTTTGACGGGGACTGAAGAGTCGTTCCGTCCCGACAGGAAGTTCATCGTGGCAAGGAGTTGTCGCTCAAAGCTCTCTTGAGCATCCGAAGCACTCTTGGCAAAGTGCAGTCCTTGAAATGCTTTGAATAGCGCGCTAGATTCAGTATGTACTGTGTCCGGGGCCTTGATATCCCACTGGCCGAGCTTTCGTGCGGTGTGAAGAGTACTTTCCACAACATCGTCGCCAATGTCCCGGAACTGATCAGTAGAGAGCAAAGAGTGTGTGACACTATTCATGTTCAGCATAATGAGAGACTTCACGGAGCCACGGGAGTCTGCCGAATCAAAAGCGTTTAATCGGCGCATGTGACTGTCAAGTCGCGCACCCCGGAAGAGCAAACTCTTTATGCCGTCTCCTTCGTACTCAAGCCGATCCAGCACGGACGACAAATTTGAGCCACGCTCGACGCCATAAAACGAATCTGGCTCGTCAAGATTCTTGTAGATGGAGAGCTGAAGCTTCACCGGCAGTCTAGGAGCTTCGAATAGAACAGAAGATCTTCTGGAGTTGTTCTTGACGACAAGTTGGCCGGAACTCGTCTCGGCAAACAGAAGAGCGCTTCTATACATACCACACACGTCTGCAGCCTGTGATGCGCTCAGAAAATCAATTTCCAACCAGCGGTCTCGGTCCACGCGGGTGACTTCTTTCGGAATCGGCTGACTGCGAAGATAGAGAACAATTCGAATCAAATGGCGGACATACTGCGCAGTGTGCGGTTCGCAATTTTTCAACCATGTTGTCATTGCAGCAGACATGTCTTCGCGGATCCGACGCTCGCTGTCAAACTCGTCAAGTAGGACAAGGTGAACGATATATGGCAAGAGTCTTTCCGCCATGTGGTCAATCCCATAAAGAAGATCAGATAGAGCCCCGAGAATGGGATCATCGGGAGTAGCCTTGCAAAGCGATATCGCCACATCTCTAATCCATATCGAGACCGGCTTGGTCGTATCGGCGATAGCTTCCTCCAGTCCCTCTGGTTGCAGGAGGGCCAAAGCTGGTGCACGTTCTGGGATGTATAACCCAAGTGCTTTCCCTATGGCGTCCGGTATGGCCCTGTTCAACTCCGCAACGTATCGAGAATCCGCCTGGGTCAGGCGTGAGATCAGACGTCTGACGGCATCTTCCGCCAGACTCACTTCAGTGCGATCGTCACTGTAGAAAAGCTCGATGACTTCTATGACAATGGCTTCGCGAGAAGCTTTCCCCAGAGCGTCTCTGGGAGTGGAGCGTGATTGTGTCCAGGGCTGTGACTGGGTGGTGTTCTGCTTCACCTCTCCACAAGCACTATAAGCACGTCCAAGAACCTTTGCTGCCCAGAGAAGGTACCCATCACCAACGCCGCTGCGGCGACATGACTCCCAAACAAGTGGCGCGTATTCGGCAGCATCCTGATCCAGGCCCAGTATGTCGTCACGGGCCATCGAAGCCGGTTGGAAGTTTTGGCATAGTAGATTTAGCGCGACCTCTCGCGAGGTCTTATTGAGTAACTTGCGGCCAGATTTTACATCGTTCAGTATCTCCAAGAGCAGTTTGCCCTCCTCACTACCGCGCATCGAGTTACCTTCATCCGTCACTTGAGAGGCAGCAGTGGTGATAAGCTTGAAAGCTTTGATGGAGGATGAGTGTTTACTCGCACCCATTATTTCACCATGACCCCTGAGATACTCTGTGAGCCATTTGTGGAATCGATTCGCCGCTGTCATTGTTGCAACATGTTGCGATTGCTGCGTTGTGCTGTCCTGGGAAGAACCTAGGAAGACTCGAATCGAAA